GCATTGAGGAGGGCACTTGTTGGCATGAGCACTAGGTGTTGTAAGCCAATTTGACAATAAATTATATTAGAAGGAAGGAAGGAAGGAAGGAAGGAAGGAAGGAAGGAAGGAAGGAAGGAAGGAAGGAAAGAAAGAAAGAAAGAAAGAAAGAAAGAAAGAAAGAAAGAAAGAAAGAAAGAAAGAAAGAAAGACACCATTGAGATGTTCCAGCTCATCCTTTAAGGTCAATGACAGAGTCACAAAGCACAGACACAGGAAGAGAGCTTACAAATCACCTGGGTATGCAGTGTCAGTCTTAACCTGGATGGTGCAGTCTATTGTTAACCCTAATTGGGTGGTGGAGCTGGGTCATAAACCCTAGTCTTTTGCCTGCCAGACCAATGCTCTTTCCTATTGATGACCTATTGTCCCAAACATATCACTGGCCCTTGTGTTGTTCCTAAACACCACTAAGGGCAGTGGGATGGGTCTGCCATCAATAGTAGGGTTGTTTTGTTCCTTTCTTTTTGCCCCTACTGGACCCTATACATCTGAGGTTCACTTGTGCCCAGCACCCTTCCTCTGCCATCTGGTGAAAATGCCCTGTTCTTTTGAAAAAACTACCTTTCCCTATTTTATTTGTGCCTGGCTTGCCTATCATAGGTCCTTCGGTCCCTTTAATGCAGAACTGGACATGTGGCACAGACTAGCCAATCAGAATTCTCCATCTCTCTTGGTCACATGATTGGATCACAAATGAGGACATGGCCTAACGTGGGCCAAAGCCTTCTCTAAGACTTCGGTATATACTCACTAGGTGGGAGAGGTGTGTCTTTTCCTCCAGTGGCAGCAATAAAGACAGAGAAAGCCCAAAACTGCTAGAGCCATCTTACCTAACCGCATTAAAGATGCCATCTGCAAGATTAAGCCAACACACCAGAGAGCCAGGCCAAGAGGATGAGAGACAGATCCCTGACAACAGGTCCAGGGCTGAGCCTCTGGACCCAGCCATGCACAGTCAGCTCTTGTATATGCCAGCTACGTGCGCTTGGGCTTTGTTTGCAGAGTGTTTCTGATACTTGCAACAGGAAGTACCGTAACACAAATGCTTTATCACTCCAATTGGTTAATCATGATTGATTGCATTATTGCCCCTGTGTTAACACCCTGTGTCATATGACTTTGGAATTCTCCCCCTCAAGGCAACCACCCTTTGGTTTTTCAAAGCTGAGTCAAGTGACTTGCTTTGATCAATAGAATGTGATAAAGGTGACGGCATGCCCAACCCAAGCCTAGGCCTTAAGAAGCCTGGTGTTTTCTGCTTGCCCTGGTGAACTGCTCCCCACGTCATGAGGAGGACGTGTATGCCAAGCCTACATCGACCAACTTCTAGCCAATTCACAGACGCGTAAGCTAAATAAGCACTTATTCTCAAACTAAGATCTTGAGGTTGTTGTTATGCCCCAATAACTGACCAGGAAAACCCGTGTGTCACTCTTCTTCTTTGGGCTTCTTGCAGACAGGAACTACATTTCATACACTGCTGTGTCCCCAGGGACTAGCACAGCTACTGGCACAGGGAGGGAAGAGACAGACTGGCCCTCCCATACCACTCTAGCTGGTTTGAAGTTCTGACCTCAGCAAAGGAGGGACACACCCATGTGCCGACGGTGAAGCTCTGTTTCTGGCATATACAACATCCCTTGGAAATTCTCCTCTAATATTTTGAGGCTGACGTCTAAGAACCTACCCCATATGCCACATCCAGGTTCTCCCTCGTTGGCCTGCCATTTAAGAGAGACCATAACACCTCTGCCCATTTCTGCCCCCAGGACAGTCAGACAGGATTATGCTGGTGAATAACTGGGTACAGGGTACCACGGCAAGCCTGCCATGGAAGCCTGCTAATCACACCCAGTTGATACTTGCCATTTGCCATCAAAAGGCATTTTACAGTGTCTCATTGAAATCGGGAGAAGGATTAAGAGGCCCCTTTCTTGATTAATGACTTTCTCTGCCTGAGAGATATAATCCTATCTATAACCCCAAATAACTAGAAACAAAATTAAATTTCTACCGCGAGATCACTCGAGGCACGTGTTACACCATGCCTGTAAGTCTTGTTTTCTTTACATATTTTATCCAGCTTACAGGCACAAGATATTCTGATCCCCAGAACCAGAACTGTTCTGCAGTAGGAGGCATCAGTGACAGAAGGGAATTTCCCTAGCTTTTCTACGGTGCTAAGGAGTTAAAAAAAGCAACCACTCTCCCTTGGGCAAAGATGTGCATTGAGTGTGTATATATAATGTGAAAATATCTAAAGATTACTCATTTCTTCACATCCTCTTAGGGAAATAGGCAGGCATCGACATATCAAAAGCAAAAGCTTTTTCTATTGACTTCACTGATTTCCATGCTGGATCTCAGTTATCATGAAAAAATTCAGAGGATCACGGACTATCCAAACTGGAAAGGACCTTTGAGACCCTTTCTCCAGATCCCATAATCTGACAGATAGAGTGGTACCCAGACAGGGAAGGGAACTTACTCAGAATGTGGGTCAGCTGATTCTCAGTCCAGCAACTTCTGTTCTCATCCACACACTGATCCATTCAGGCTGCTATCACAAAAATGCCAGATTGGGTAGCTTACGAATGACAGAAGAGGTTGAGAAGTCCAAGATCAAGGTGCCAGCAGATCCAGTATGTAGGGAGAGCCCTGTGGTTCATCAACAACCGTCTTCTCACTGTAGCCTCACAAGGTGGAAGGAGCCAGGGAGCCTCCAGCACTAATCCCCTTCACGTGGGTCCACCCTCATGACCTAGTCACCTCCCAAAGGCCCCACCTCCAGATACCATCACACTGAGCATTAGAATTTAACATATGACTTTTGGGTGGGCACAAACATTCAGTCTATAGTGAGCATGTGGGCACACTGACACATGCACACACACATTTGAACCAACATTCATCAAGCACCTTCTCTATATGAGGCGTTATGGGGAATGCAAACAGAGAAGATGCTCATTCAACATCTGTTCCAATGCCCAACCCCCTTGTGCTGCACAGAAGAACACTCCCAGGAAGCTCATACAAGGGCTTTCCTAAGTTCCCTGGCAGCTAGAGTTCCAAGTGTGATTTAGGTCCAACAGTCATGTGTCGTGTACTTGCACAAGATATCAATTGAGAACTAAGTTGCATGGAGGAAAAAGTGCTTGCATAAAGTGTTGACTTGGGAAGGAGTTACATGGGGAGAGAGAGGTGCAATGCACCCATCCTGACAGATTGCAGCAGAGATGGGACAGTTCTGGGGCAGGAGCTGTGGCAGGTGGTGTCCCTGTTCACCAGTTCTTTGATCATGGAGAGGCAGCAGCTCCCTGGGTAGCTGAGTTCTACAGTGTGGTTTTAGAAGCTGTTCCTGGAGTGTAGACTCAAGACTC